GAGAGAGAGAGAGAGAGAATGTTGAACGCCTCATTCGTCGTGAATTAGATAAAGTCCTGTCCTCTACATAAAATTTTTCGATTTTCAGACTATAAGCTAGCCGACAGAAAATTCCTATTTTATCTTTCATGTAAAACTTGTTCTATAATATTGAGAAATTATATAAAGCTTTATAGAATTTTTTTAAAAATACAAAAATTGCTGCAAAAATACTAAAGAAAAAAGTTTATAATAATAATAATAAAAGTAATTTAATGAAATAATAACAGATAAAGTAAGGAATATATTCAAAAATCTCACAGCACGTGAGATTACTAATGTTTTTGCGTGTTTTCCTTGATATCATCCGCAAAAAGTCTTCACACTGATACATTATCGAAGAAGATACGATAGTGCGTCGTTTCAACTGGCGTACATAATCATTATGCGCGTATGCCCCTTAAAAGTCAGACCCTTTTGGCCATGAGTGCACTCTGTAATTTTGCGCTTTGTAATTACGATTATAATGCTCGCAACAGTTTCGTGCTTTTAACCGTCACGTCTGCACTCTCCGTCAAATGCATCCTCCTGGAGCACAATATTGTGCGAATGCTATATTATCCGGAAAAACGATCTCCAAACTTTACATCAGTTATTCACATCAGATGAAAAAATCGTTCTATATTTTATGATAAAATTTATAAAAAGATAATAAATTTGCCAATGCATGTAATTATTTTCTTAACATCGGCAATTAAATTTATAAAAAAAATATATATGTTATAAATAAATCATTTTAAATCTAGTACATGATATTGTTTTTATATCATTCATAATTATTTCATATTTTAAGAATTTTTAATTTTATTGTATGGATTTCTTTAAAAATAATTACACGTGATAAAAGACTTCACAGACAGTCATAAAACATTTTCAGAAACAGGTAGGAACGGTATGTATTTACCCAAGATCTTATTAAGTGAATTTTTAGCATCCTATCGATAAAAGATCTCGATTGCTTCATAAATCACGACGTACACCTGAACGCAGCTTTGTGGAACAGCGTAATGTGTAATTAGTGCGTAATTATCAAGATCAAAACAAAAATCGTTTAGAGCGGATAGTGTGAGAGGATCCTACGGAAGTGGATAATTAACACACTTGTTCGGATAAATTGGCGCATCCGGTTGATTATTTGAAAATCATTCTGACGACTTTGATATTTTATATACTTTGACGATTAATTTCGCTTACTGGCTGACTATCTAATATTCTATTCGTTTATCATGCGCGTATTTCACATTTTTTTCATACTTTGCGTTGATGTTGCGATGTATTGCAATATACAAGGTGATTCATATTGGATCTGTGTATACTTCTTCACGATCCTTACAACGCCCTTAAAATAATTTTCACGATAAAAAAGTTTATACAAATAAATTCATAAAAATTCTTATATTTAAACTTTCTTATTAATTAAATTATCGTAAAAATAGCTATATAAACTTTTCTTATTGAATAAGAAATCATTAAAGAAGAAAGAAAATAAGGTTATGTATGTAGGAAATATTCTAAAACTAAAACGATCCCGATCGATCGACACGGTGCCATCAATATGTTTGTTTATGTGTGACGTGTGTGGCAAGGACATTGCGAGACAGTGCTTTGTCTTAAAAAAAAAAGTCCGCAACGAACCGACGTAGATACGCGAAAACGAGCACAGTATTACGAGATATATCACAAGTTTTACGAGTCACAAGTAATCGCAAGATAGTATTCGAGGCGAGTTCGAACTTCCAATAAAGTGCATCATAAAGAGTGCACTTGAATGCAAGACTGTGACTTGAATAATCGCGAAATGCGCAAACATTAACGTGTGAGAAAAAGACTGCTAACGAATTTGATAACGCGCATATCCTCTACATATCCTCGCATATCGAATGATTCTCATTTTTCACTAATATTTTTTGTAAATATATATATATATATATCCTCTCTGTAATTCCATTCACATTTAATAATACATATAGAATGTATGAATTAAAATAATCATCAAATTCACGTATAGATCTTTCAAGATAATTTTTAGCTAACTTTTAGACAAAAAAACATAAATGCGCGTCTAATTTTAAACAATCAGAAATTGTACTGCTGTTCACTATCGTTAGTAAAGTGCTTGATAGACATATTATAGTCTAGAAAATTACGGTGATTCAATGAATCACTTTAATCATATAAGTCATTTATACAAGTCACATTAGCGCAACAATTTATACAATGTTCTACGATTATGCTAAATAGCGCGCATATTTGCAAGCTTAATTCGTCGGACGATTCATCCACGGACGAAGACCTACGTAGTGTTTTAATCAAGCAGAAATACTCGTTAGTTTACCTGAATGTATCCCGCCGTCGATATCGGCATCTTCGAAGACGCACTCGTCATCAGCAGGATCCTCCGCGGCTTCCTCGTTTTTGTTTCGATCGTTGCTCACGCGAACGCTCGTCTTCTCAACCGCGCAAGGACTATCGACGGACGCGTGTCTTCCGATTCGCACCAGAGTGCTGTTGCTCCTCGCTAGCTTCGTGCTGTGAGTTCTGCGAATCAACAGATTCGTGAGAGTCGTCGTGTTCTGTTTGGTCTTGGATTCTTGATGACTGATCCTGTGCTCGCGAGACGAGCCGGCCGATTTCGGAGCCGACTCGATGACGATCCTCGTCGCGACAGGTTTCTCGTCAACGTTCGCCGACTTTTTCCTGCACCCGGCGTCATCCTCCGCTTCGAAGCAGGCGATGGTGTTGTTCAAGCGACTGTCTTTCCTGCCGCTCGACTCCTTTCTGCCGGCGAGTCGCTGAAATCGCTCGATGGTCTTGAAGGATCTCGTCCTCTCCACTTTCTTTCTCTGCTCCGCCTGACCGCCGGGCGTCGCGGGCGTCCGCTCGCCCTTGGACGCCTCGAAGATTTTCGTTAACGACTGCACCTTGCCCCTCACCTCCGGTAACGTCTCGTCCGCGTTCCTCCTCGCGCTCGACGAGAGGTCGTCGTTGTTGCTCAACGTGCGCGTCAACGACCCGGGCGTCGTCGATATCTTCGACGTACTTCCGATGGGAAACGTGTTGCAGGCGAACTTTTCGCCGTCGGTCGAGTGACCCTTCGTCAGCTTGCCGATCGGCTGTCGCGTCTGCTCGCCGCCGTCTAACGACACGTAGAACGTGGACCGCCTCTTCGGCGACTCCTCGGGATTCTCCGCGGTTATCATATCTTCACATTTCCTCGAATTTCTTCGGAACGAAGAATTCAACGGTGATGAAGAGTTCACGACGTCAGTTTATATCACCGAAGCCAAATATCGCGTCGAGAGTCCGGCGTGAACCGACATGCTACTCGAGCACGCTTCTGTTATCAGCGTGAGTGAACGCCCTGTCTTCTTTTTATGCGCGTTAGAAGGACATCGAGATTTGGCGCGAGCACTTTTATCTGTCGCGTTGACACTCGTGTGTTATTCGCACGTAACGTATTGTTCATAATATTGTACGTATCGGATTAACATGATACGTTCGCTCCGCGCGGGCGATTCCCTCTCGATCGACTCCAATTCACTTTCCGACTCTCTATGCCACCGTATTTTTGCGTATCGGGTGTCCCTGGTATCGCCGACTGCAGCGATGTCAGAGGTGCGCCGCCAAGGTCCTGTGCAACACCACGGAGAGATGCGCCTCAGGACACGCTCCCACCCTCGGAGCAGAGAATCGGATGCGTGCGATCTTCAGGGTCGCGGTAATAACAATGATTACATCCCTCTCTCTCTCTCTCTCTCTCTTTCTCTCGATCGGATCGGTTTTCAGTGACGGGCCTTTCGAGAGATCGCCGCGCCGACTCGTCTCTTCGGAATATATCTCCCCTCTGTCCCCTCTCTGCCTCTCAACCCGCGCTAAATATAGACGAACTATTGAGCTCCAGCCAGGAGAGAGCGAGAGAGAAAACTCGCGTGTCGTCACAATGTACAAGACGAATATCAGCTGGCTGTGTTATCCCTACGCGCCGATACACCGTGGATTACGCGAGGCGTTGAACCGTGAACGTGTGACTCTTCGCGCGTCGTATCCTCTTCGTGGCGGCGAAGATGTTTCTTCCGCGAAGAATTCACATTTATTTACGTTTTATGTAAGTTCGTCTTGCGGTTTTTCCACGTGCATGTGTGCGCGTCTTCATACTGCCACACTTCTTTCGCGAGAAATTCTCTTCTATTTTATGTACATTGTTAATTTTTATATGTATTTTACATTCGTTTTATTTATAATATATACATAGAATTAATTTTTTTTCGCACGTGCGTGTACTCAATTATCACCTTATTAAATTTTCTTTACATTTACGTGTAAGCGTAAATGTAATAAATGGTTCTTTCTCCTTTTCTCTTGGCTTGTCTCTTGAAATGCTTTGAACTTGAATGGTGGAGTTATCGTATCTTATTGCGCAGTGTTTGAGAAAATCATTGCTTCGCGCGTGCCTCTGAACTTGCAAATACTTTCTCTTTTATTATATTTTTTCCGATGTGATTGCGTGTTCAATACTTATTCGATTTCAAGACGTGATTTCTTACGTAGCTCCAAAATTTCTTTTTGAGCCACATCCGTGTATGAAATCGCTGAAAAAGAATGATCTTAAAGCGTGTAGTATCTTGTAATTATTTCTCCCTTGCTTTTTATTTTGAAATGTGTCTCGTAAAGTTGTATCAACAAGATGCTCCAATAAATATCTCTCACTCCTTCTCAGGACAAAACAAATCCCTTTGCTCCGAAAAAACCGCGGTGTAACTCGCGGCAAAAGAAATGTGGAAACTCAGCGCGATCGGAAGAATCCGAGAGAGAACGTGGAAAAGATTCGCTGCAGAAGAAATCGACGGAAGAAGAGATGCAGCTGGAGAGATTGCAGGTGGAACTGGTCGAAGAATCTGCGACGGTCGCGGAGAATCGCTGTTGAATGTGCGCCGTTGAAGTTGTTGGCAAAGCCGGTCGAGATTTACGATCGCGAGTACTCCGAGTCGGTTGAAGAGGCTTGAACAACAATTTATGGTAGCGGGATTATAATTGACGATAAAAAAGGAGAACGCGTGCCGTAATCTAACGCGAATTACGATTGCAGACGCACTCTCGAAAGCGCAGAATCGCGCAAGAGCAACACCTGTCGTCGATTATTCACCGTCCCGCAGCTTTCGTCTGGTTTGTTCGCACTTGTTTACAGAGTTATGCCGCTCCGATTGATAGCCCGAGGAATCGCACTCTCGGCGATATGTTTGAGCTCGCGAATTCCGACACGTAGTTTCACGATCGAGCAAGAAGAAGAGCGATCTGCTCGCTCCTGTTCGCACCAAAATACACACAGCGTCACACCACAGAGAACTTTCTCACCAGAAACATGTTTCTACACTTCTCGCGGCACCTTGAATTTAATTCAAACTCGGATTCTCGGAGCGGAAGATACGGACGACTCACGATTTACCGCGCACAGAGTTCCGACGCGAGCGAGTCCCCGATAGTCGCGCGGTCGCCACGCCGAGAAAAGTAAGAGGTGTTCTCTGAACGATCCGGCTCTCACGATCGCTCCTCTCACGATCGTCGCGGACTCGTGCGCAACGATCGTTTCTCTTTCTCCGACCGCGTCGCGGTCCACCCGCGCGAGAGGAAGCGCGCGTCCTTCCTCCTCGCCGCACCTCTACTTTTCAGAAACGTTTCTTCGTGCGTCCGCGAGAAACGAACGCGACGTGAGCGACAACGTTTTACGCGCGATCGGTCCGCACCGTGGACGGACTCACGGCTATCTGACTCGACGAGCCGGACTTAATCCAAGCACGCTGCGAGCGCCCCTATCGGCGGCGGTCTTCTTGGCGCACGTAAAAGAGAGAGGCAATGAAAAGAGAGAGAGAACAGTCAACTGGAGGATCGACGATGCACACGCGTTAACTATACGCTGCACTCGACCAGAGTTCCAGATATACTCAGATAAATAAAAGGAGGATGCATCAAGAGACGGTTTAGCAATAGTAAATTACCAGTAATCTTGAAAGTTTGTTCCTCTCCGACTCCGAAAACGGGAATGAATGTGTACACAAGCGAAGAACATTTTCGTAATTAAAAGAATTATAATTTTACCTTGTATTTTTATAAAAACTATATTTTTTCTGTCCTACTTTTTTCGTACTTTTGTGTATAAATTTTCTTCGTATAGATTCACGTAATATAACTTTTAAGTAAATTAGCTTTAAAAACTCAAGTCGAAATAACTCTTAGACGTCGTGCGAAAAAAGAAAACGAAAGAATCGCTTCTGGCAAGTGTCAAAGTTTCGGCTCTGGCGACGTCTAACGAGCGCAGTTAACGTTTCAAATTTTAAAGCGGATTAAATCGGACGTTAATGCCACTGCAATTGATGAGTTCGTTATCAAAAAAATAATATTACTCGCTTCGTATCTTATCAATCCGTTTTTTATCAATTCGATTTTGTGTGGTAATTTTGGTGCATTTTACAACATTTATTACCAAATTATTTTTTCTATATGTTAACAACATTGCAGTAGCATAAAAGTATTCTGAAGTGGGCGGATCACGAGTACCCCGTCTGCAATAATTGCGGCAGTAATGATAACTAGAGAGGTAACTTCAACTGCGAGAGATCTTACACAACAAATTATTATGAGTGTGCAATGTAAAGCGTTTCCACCATTCAAAGTAGAAATTTCGATTGCAACCTCAAGAGATTAACATTGCATGCACTGAGAAAATGTTAAACTTCCGCGTTATTGCACGTGGAATGTTACACATAGATAACATTCGATTACGTAAATAATACAAAATATTTTTAAAGTAATATAAAATAGAAAATGAGTATAAATAAAATTTTATGATTACGCAACAAGTGTTTTTATTATACATTTTGTTCGGTATTACACTTGATTTTAAACGTGTTCTATAATATTTTTTAAATTGATTGACTTTGCGACTATCGTTTTGCTATCTATACGGCGTGAATCCTGTAGCAGTAAAAAAAAAAACTATAACGATTTTCTTCGGCAAATTAAGCATACCTAAGAAAATCTCTATGACTCAACCGGATCGTATTCATAACTGTTTCTTTACCAAGTTATCGCCCGTTTCCACGCCGCTCCTATTTCGAAACTAGCATAAAACCGACAGTTTACGATCATAATTTTCATTCCTTGAAAACCGCAACAATGCTACGAATGAAAGCGGAAGACAAAAGATGTCAATGACCGATTTAAAGATTAGAAATTTAGGTAATTGCTAATTTTAAGTTAATGTTAATGTTAATGCTAATTTTAATGTTGTCAGTTTTGTCGACGTAACGTAAATTGTAAGTAAAACATATATTATATTTTTACCTATTTTGATCTTAACAATAATTATTGCAATAGATAAAGATATTGCATACCTCAAAGTTAAAAAGTACGATAAAGTACAACTTTTCACATCAGTGTAAAAATTCTTATCATCAAATTCTTGTGCAGACGTAAGATTATTGCACAAATCCAGCAGATAAAAAAGAACCAGAAAGGATGTGGGTTGATAAATAACGTCGGCTCAACGCGAACCGTCTGGATTTCAAACTGACGCTTTCGTTTCTTGAAAGCCAGTCCGTAAGACGGCTTAAGACGATTTATACGACCCCGAGAGCGGCTCATCGACAAAAAGCTTTTTCAAATTTCGGATATTCTCACCGGCTGAATTGAAAGTGTTACTAAAATTAGACGTGCGCTCGAAGTAAAATCAATCTTTTATAAATATTGAAAGAAAATTATCATTATTTGTTCGAATTTTAATGCAGGTGTTTTTATAAAATTATTCTATAAAGTTTCTACGATTCTTATATCCTTGTTCAAAACTACCGTTTGAAAAATAACGAACTTTTTCAATCGTGTTCATATAGCGTTTCAGTAATAATATATACGTATATATTTCGTTTCATAAATTTATCTCTATATATCTCCACAATTAATTTATTTCAATTGTAATCGGGGAAAACGTACGCGCACGCAACAGTATTCTCCGAAAAGTGCATCGAAAGCAAACCCGTGTGAAAATTTCACTTTTACTCGCAGATTCACAGCTTGTGCTCAATTTTCTGAGTCTCTTCGTCGTTTATTCTATCAAGCGATCAGGAAAATTGTTCTACGATTTCTAAGATAGGAATCACACGTGAGTAGAGATTTAATTGTCTGAATAATGCATATAAAATTATAAAATTACATGTATAGAATCAGTTTAACTCTAAGCAGATGTTTTTATATTCTATTAAGCCCTTGATATCACGTATCTATCTTACCACATATTTAAAAAAAACTTAATAAAAAAAGTAAGAGAATAATGTTAACTATTTTATGCGCAAGATTGTTCTTTTTTATTATTAACTACAACGACGTTTTAAGAATTTGAAAGCTCCATAATGTCTGCTGAAAGTTCAAACGTTTGACTATATCTTAACCCTTGCAAAATAAAATCCGAAAGTTAATATGTGCAATCGGTCATAAATATGGATAACCGCGAACAACGGACAATAAATTATTTTGTACAAAATCAACGTAAAAATAAAATTTCACACATAAACTAGAATATTTGTTGACTTTCGTAACGTATTTTAAAGCAACGCTCTAGAGCAATTCCTTTCACTTTTCTAACTAGAGCCAGTTTGATTTTTGTAGCAGATTAGATTTATCGATGTCGCATGTAATTCTGTTGATTAGAATATGTTCGCATGCATAATCAATAACATATTACCGTTCACAATCAGTTAAATGAATTGCAAGGAAGTTATATTTAAGTTATATATTCCTCTGACATTTAACGATTGCGTATTTTATGAAACGCAATTCTCAACTATTTTATCATTCTTTAATTCCGAATATTCTAAAATATTATAACACAAATGGTTCAACTTCTTCTCATTTGAGAAAATAAATATACAATTCTACAAGTCGTTCGTATTTACGACATCGCTAATTGCGATAATGCGCAAGGTCCGTTCGCTGGCGCCGAATGCGCCTTCTTCTTCGCGGAGATTGGCGCGCGACGTCGCCGCCTAAAATGAATAATGACTCGCAGCCGGGAGTGCGGATACAATTGCAGCGGCAAAACGAGCAATCTCGAGAGCTGCGAATCCCTTTTGCGCCGCCCACACACGGGAAATTTCATTTGGCGCGGTCGATCGGATTCGCACTCTCGGATTTATCGTAGTGAATATGATAGCGTTTGTCCAGGAAATTCCATTATCGAGCAGATCGGTTTCGCTATCGGGAGAATGCGTCGAGTTTCTGCAACGCGCCGGCGATATCGGACCTTCGTACGTGTGACAGAAACTCCAATGCGAGAAGAATATATCATTTTCCACGAACTGGAACAACTTTGTTAAGTTTCCATTCCGAAGTGAAGAAAACGTGGAAAAGAGCGCGAGGAAAGTGTCGAACATTCTTCTTGTCGCAAGCCTTCATAGATGCAGAATGCAATTAGCATTTTACGACGGTATTGCTTGGAAAAAAATACCCACAGACACGTTTTCAACGCCATTACTTATCTCTCTCGCACCGAACGCAAGCGTCTGAGCACGTGCCTTTGAAGCTGACGTTCACACATCCGCCGTGCGGAGAATCTTAACGACTTGTACTTGAACGGGCTAGAAGCGTCGATTATAGTGCGGCGTTCAAATTAAAAACTTTTCGCCATGAATTTAATATAAAAACGCTTAGAACAAATGAAAGAACGCGATTCAATATAAAATGTTTTTATAATATAATTTGTTACAGCAAAATGTAGATTTTTACTTACTGCGACATGTGCAATAAATAATACTTTGTGATAATGTAAATAAAATGAAAAGTATTAGAATCAAAAGTTTGTTTAAGGTAAAATCAAATCTCTCATTCAATTGTGCTTTTTCGAAGCAGTTATAAAAATAATTAATAGAAATATTTTAAACAATAAAAAATAGTTTTTGTATTTTTTGCGTCATCGATTGATGAAAAAATACACACTCGTACACGATTAAGGTAACGTAATTATTAGCTGCGGCGTACAAAGATGCGGCTCGACTGACTGACCGTTCATTCCATTACGTATCCTATTAACGGCGGCAATTAACGTGGCGTTATCTTAATTCCGGTTCCTACGCCATACGCGGGGAATAAATGTCAGATTTATGGCGAGATTAAACGAGCGAGGAGAAGAGAGAAAGAGAGATCGAGGGATGCGGGGGATCAACATTGAAGGAACAAGAATTACATGTGGGAAGACGAACGACTGCGTTAGCGGAGTGCGTGTAGGCGAGGACTTGACGTGCGTCTTCATGCTTTTGCTTTTTTCGTCTTTCGCTTTTTTTTTTACTGTCGTTTCTGCATATCTCGGCGGGAACGAACGTCCCGAAAGAACGATGACGATGAAGACGGGGCTCGATGACGGGCTGTAGTGATAATAGCAGCAAAAAGAGGTGCGATAGAATCGATTTATTCGGGACTTGAATTTAACTTTGCATTACGTTTCCTACGTTGAGATGTATTCAACAATTTATAAATTCTTCGTCAAGTTTTCATTAAAATCTCAATGAAAATTTCGATGTAATTAGTATTTTTTATGTACGCACTTTGAGTAGCTTGTCGTTAAAGATGACTAAACATTCACAACTGTTGATTAATTTGCTAATTTACTACATTATTAATACACCAAATTTGTTAATCTTATAATTTACTCAAGATTAAAAATTGACGATTCTTGCACAAAGAATCTTCGTTCAAAGAAAAAC